GCCGCTGACAACGCGTCAGCTTCTGGCACGCTGGTCAGCGATGGCCAAGCTGTAGTGATGCGCAAGCACTAAGCGCGGTAGGTTAAACTCTCTGCCAAAGCCACTTGTGGAAAAACTTGGAGGTGCAAAAATGGAAGAAGGCTACGCTAAATTAGCTAGCAAATTAAGAACAATTAAAAGATTTGATGTTAAGTGTAATGGCTAAGGTTCAAAAATGCTCTGATGGTCTTATTGGATTGTGTGTTGACGCCAGGTCTATGCATGACACATCTTAATGGTTATTGCCACATTGTGAAGAAAAGCTGAACCTGGTTAAAGCCAAAATGATGTTCAATGATGAATTTATTGTAATCAAGTGTGGGTTTGTCACTGAACGGTACTGGTTAATATATGGGAATCGCCATGCGCTGTGACGTTTTCTAATGTTCGGTAATGTTCAACATAAACAGTGGACAGCAGTACAAGAGTCAAGTACAGAACTACATCTGGAACACAATTATAAGCAGCAGCAGAAAGGCTGCAATTGTTCCTCGCGTGGCAGGTTTGCATGAGAGCATGAGCAACTGGAGGAACAGGAGGCTACAATTAAAGCGGGGAGAAAGCGAACAGCTTGATTTGGGAAACTGTAGCTAGCTGGTAGTTACTGCTAGGCCTAGCAGTTTTACAGGCTTCACATTTCGCACGACGTTCCTCTCTTGCACCAAACAAAGTGGAAAGTGAACTCATCCTGGGAAAGGTAAAAAAGGAACTGGCATTGTTAAACATACTTAACCCCCTGGCAAAGGAGTATGATTCCACATCAAGGAAAATATCCTCCAGCAAACCAACAAAGATGGACATTGAACAAAGCAAGCTGAAAGGCAGTTTGCATTTAAGGAAGATGCTTATGTACAAAATCAACATTATCTGGGAACATCACATGGGTTGATAACTGGTGAATCAACTGCATGGGAAAGTCAACAGGAAAATAACCATCAGCAAATCAATGGAATTCCACCTGAAGGTTTATTCACGATAATGCAATGCAAAATGAAATAACAGCTGCACTGGTTCACCAGCAACGTTTACTGTCTCTACCAGCAAGAGACATTCCTATATTTGATGGAGACCTGTTTCAGTACAAGGCTTTCATTAAAGCATTTGAACAAGGAGTGCAAAAAAAAGCCAGCAAAGCCGACTGCTTGTACTATTTAGAACAGTTCACAAAAGGACAGCCACAGGAACTGGTTCGTAGCTGCCAGCACATGGCTCCAGAACGTGGCTACATTGTGGCAAAGGGTCTTTTGCAAGGACATTTTGGGAATGAGTACAAGATCGCTGCTGCTTACATAGGAAAGGCTCTAGCTTGGCCAACATTGACAAAGGCAGAAGACATTAAAGCACTACAAGCCTATGCTTTATTTCTACGTGGATGTGCTAATGTGATGGAAGAACCAGGACCAAAACATATCATGTAATATACATGTTTTGCATGGAACATAGTCAAGTTAGCTACATAGCTATAGTAGCGAGCACGTTAGTTAGCATTACATTACTTAGCCTTGTCATTTGTATTAGCCTTAACATGAAGTAAACCAAAATGTTAAACAGTAAGAGTAGTCATGATGGTAAGTGCAGGAGCCAATTAACATCTGTGGGTATAAAGGTAGGAACCTATGTTTGGTGGTGAGAGGTTACGCCGGAAGGCCATACAGTTTTTGACCACACACACACACACACACACACACACACACACACACACACACACACACACACACACACACACACACACACACATCAAGGCAACGTCTCACTGCCGAAGTTTAGTTGTGTTTCTGAACGTCATATTTTGTGTGCTTATTGGAAAGCTGGTTCAAATGACAGGTAGACAGTTCAACGGGAAAGCAAACGGACTGAGCGTTCAGTTGGAAACTTTGCTATCAGACTTTTTAATTAGTCAGTGTAGGTAATAAGCCCGTCCATTATAACAACAAAGCGGCGCCTCAGGGGCTTAAAGCGCTGGCTGAGCCTCTACAGAGAGCAGCTTGAATTGTTTATGAGATGTTTCACAGTACAGGTTATACCTTCCTTTGTGGTCCCATTAACAACCTCCCCTCCCTGACTACCAGCACCCCTGGGTGTCTGTACGTCCCTTCAGGGTTTAAAACACACACTCACTGCGGCGTTGTGCATCTTCATGACGGCGTCTGGAGTTCCTTCAGCCAGCAGATGGCCGTTCCTCATGAGACCCACCTGGAGGAAAACAGCAGCGAGAATATTAGATCAATGGGTGACATCGCTTTCTATTTAAAACTCAAATAAAAGCCAAAACATGGACATTTCCATCCCTTTGTTTGATTGAAACATATAACCCAACATGATTAACTTCAACATTAAACCAAAAGAGACCACACTTGGCTTGTGGCAGCTTAAAGTACTGTACAAACTTTTGTCTAAGAATAATTCTGTACACATGTTTACCTTTTGCCCTCTGACACAGATGCCCAACCTTAGGCAGCCGCTATCTCCCTTATCTAGCTGCCCTAGCATGTTGTTGTTGTTACCAGTTTATGACCAAGCAACTGTCGGTCAGAGATAGTTATTGTTGTGGGACACCTGGAACACATCCTTCTCGGGGTGTAGATGACATCGAGCCATAAGCGACAACAAATGTGATTCAGTGTCCCTCAGCTGTTTAGCCTATCTATTGAAGAATGTTGATTATTACACTCTGAACTAGTTCAAACCTGGAGCTACAGGAGGGGTCTTCAGAATTGATTGTGGCATCTCATCCGTGTGGTCAAACCGTGGCCCGTGGCATGTCTTGTTAATTCTACGGCCGAAGCTCCAAATAAACCGTTAGTGTTTGCCATCAAAGCTCCAGCTCTCCATCGTGTCTCTCTTTGAGTCCTGACTCCAATTGCTTCAGAAGTTTCCCTCACAACTTTCACATGGAAAGCATTCGGTTTTCTTTAGGTCTTTACATATACAGTAAAAGCCCTGTTGTTGTTTTGAGCGCAAGTGAAGCTTAGTGAAAGGGTGACGTCCCTTTCTATTTATAACAAAAATAAGCATATTTCCCAACATGATTAACTTTAACATTAAACCAAAAGAGATCAAACTTGGCTTGTGGCAGCCTAATGAGATGTACAAACTGTCCTGTGTAAAGCGGTTTTGTTTAGGTTTTTACTTACAAACATAAAGGTTAGTGGTGAAAAAATCTCAACTCACTGGATTTATGTTGAGCCGAACATTAGTTCATGGACTGTAAAATGTGACTATAGGCTCACTGTATGTACAGAGTTCATGTCCTTTGTACTGTGAGGGCCTGTTGTTGTTTTTGAGTGTCACCAAGCTACTGAAATCTTTCTATGTGCACAAGTGAAGCTAAGTGAAACGTCTGTAACTCCTCTCTGACGTTGTGTTTATAAATAAATGTCTCCTTTCCTACCTGTTTTCTCTCTGTTTATTGAAACTGTCCGTGTTTGAATGTCGGCTGAGTTTAGTTAAGGCCATGCAAACTTTAGAGCAAAGATTTTAATCACTTTATCACAAACAACAATCATGAACAGGAGATAAAAATCATGTAAACGATAAACTTCTTTCAGGTAATTACTTTCCAAGCAATTCAGTTGTATGCGTGTACCTGTATGATATGGCTTAATCATTACCTATCTGTGCAAAATAAACACAGCATTAGTATTAAAGTAACAGAAATATATCCTTTCACACAGACTGCACATCTTAGTACATATGCCAATACTCTGTGACTTCCTTACCCCTTCAAATGTGTCACAAATAGACTGTTTTTAGTCTCAATAAAAGGATGAATACATTGTTAAAACTGCTGGGCTCTGTAGATATCAGCAAACATTTCTCAAACAGCATTTGTGGGGGACTATTTTCAGAGGTGGATTAGTACACGTGTGGTGCTTTAGTTAGTATTTACAGCAGCACGATGGTGTAAGAAGGGTCAACATTAAATACATTTTGAATGCTTTTACAACAATAATGGAGCTTTATGGCACAAAGGAATACGATTGTTTTGGCTTTGGATCTTGTTGGTAGCATCTACTAATTGTATCTTCTAAAACTAAACTAGTAACTAAAAATATAAGCAAACCTTTTCATTCAAAACAGAGCGCCTATACAAACTCCATTGGAAGCTTTTGTCCTCCTGTCAAAGCTAATCAGGATTAAACTTATAATAAGATGCATATATCAATGGACTCACTGTTTTCTTTATGAAACATGCGGACCAGTGCGGACATAGTGCTTTGTTCTATCGATGTTTCGTGTGTGTGTGTGTGTGTGTGTGTGTGTGTGTGTGTGTGTGTGTGTGTGTGTGTGTGTGTGTGTGTGTGTGTGTGGCCTAGCATTACTATACTTGTGGGGACCTAAATCTGTTTACACAATCACGTGTGGGGACTCGCCTCCCTTATGGGGACAAAATAGAGGTCCCCATGAGGGGAATCATTACTTTTAGGGGTAAGGGTTAGGGTTAGGCATGTGTTGGTTAAGGTTAAGGTTAGGAAAAGTCTCCAGGAAATGCATATAAGTCAATGTTAGCTCCCGTGTGTGTGTGTGTGTGTGTGTGTGTGTGTGTGTGTGTGTGTGTGTGTGTGTGTGTGTGTGTGTGTGTGTGTGTGTGTGTGTGTGTGTGTGTGTGTGTGTCCATCCATGCATGTATACAGTATCTCACCACATTGGCTTGCCTGGCCTCCTCGATGTAGTGTGTGGTGATGATGACAGAGACTTTCCCCGTCTTCACAATCTCCACCAGATGCTGCCAGATCCTGGAGGAAAGAGCGGAGGAACCCAACAGATTACATAACGCCTTCTAATCCGTTTCTAGGAGAGTTTTCCTAAACTTTCTGTCAGAAAGAGCTCACAGCTTTGCCAGCAGAAGTTTTCCTGCCAAGCTACGGATCTGCTGAGGCTCTGAGCTGCTTTCAAACAACCAGACAGGCGCTGCATACTGAGCAAGAGCAGCTTGATTTGAACTAGGTTTCTGACAGATTTTCTACAACAAGTGAATAAGAAAGAAAGATGGAAGTTAGAAGCTCAATTGGAAATGTTATTTGAAGACATCATTTATCTTTAGAAACAAATAAGGCTGAAAAATGACAACATATAGTTAGTAATGAGTTAAAATGCAGGTCTTTTGCCGATGTTACAACTAGCTTAATATATTCTGGCCGTAAATATAAATCTCCCTTTAGTTTTTAATGTTTTTATAAGGGGGATTTGTGAAATGACTGATGTTTATATGCTTATATAAACATCAGGGCTGTACGTTCCTTTCCTAAGGGGGAACTAAACTGGAGAACAGTGGACATGCTGCATGATACCACACTGATACAAACTAAAAACACATAACCTCTTTCTCCTATTGTCTCTAAATCGAGCACTTGAAATAGATCAGCATATTTGGATATTTCGAAGTTGATCGTTCCTGCATTTTTTGGCTGTACCCACATGTGTGATTGCACTTATTGTTTTAAGATAAGACAAGGCTTTATTGATCCCGAAGGAAATTGTTGTGCCAGAGTTACAAAAATACAATAAATACAGCAACACAATAATAATAAAACTGTACACTAACAGTGCAGTAAAAATAGATATAATGTGTGTGTTTGTGTGTGTGTGTGTGACGTGTGTGTGTGTGTGTGTGTGTGTGTGTTACGTACTTCGCCCTGAGCACAGGGTCCACTCCCACGGTGGGTTCGTCCAGAATGAGCAGCTCAGGGTTCTGAAGCAGCGCCGCACCCAGAGACACTCTGCGCTTCTGACCGCCACTGAAACACACACACACACACACACACACACACACACACACACACACACACACACACACACACACACACACACACACACACACAGAGAAAACAGGAAGTGAGACAGACAAAAGAGTCAAAGGACGTCCGAGGTGAATAATCTCCCGCTCTGTGCATGCACTGAAGAAACTGAAGCATTGACTTTAATTAAATGTATTATGTCAACAGATTACATTTACTTAAAGTCAATGCTTCAGTTTTTTCAGTGTGCCGCAGCAGAGCCAATCCGGAAGGACGAACCGGCCCAAAGACAAAAAAAACAACAAGACCTGAGCGAAGAACATAAGGAGGAATTGGCATTAAGACAACTTTACATAAAACAATAAAAATAACTTTCCTTTTTTTACAAATTAATTTGACGGCAAATCAAATATTACCTGATTCATTCTACTTGTTTTGAAGACAAAAGAAGAATTTATATGAAGCATAAACAGGCTGATTGATGACCACGCGTGCCACACGGTGTGTTCCTACCAGGAATATCTTTCATATTTTGCGCAGGGAACAGTTTCAACAACACGTCACGTAAGGCTGCAGCAGCAGAGCCATCTCGGAAACAAAAACACAGATCCTTCTCACCGGGAATGCTCTCTGCTGCTGCCGTGATACACAAACCACGACATAAATATTACATGAAGGGCTCCGGTGAATGAAAGCAGGTTGGAGAAGTCTTTGTAATTATCTGGGATGTGAATTAGGAGCAGGAATATGAGATGATAACGAAAGTAGTTCTTATAAAGTACTGTTTTTATTTATCTCTCTCTGTGCAAGGCATCTTCTAGGACATCTTGCAGCATGGTTTCACATTAAGACTAAATGCACATTTTCTAAACTAACTTGAAAGCAGGAATGCAACAGAAATATTTGATAAAATGCCAAAAACCCTATTTTTAAATCTATTTCTTGATCCTTTCCTTATAGGGTCTGTGAGCAAAGTTTTGTTGGTCACAGTCTGCGTCTCTGTGGAAAGCAGCTACATTTAAGGAACTGATTATAGCTGAGGTTTATTTGGGAACACAAAACAAGGCTCTGCAAATATGATCATGTGTTTAGGGACAATAAACATATGCTGCAATTCAGAACTGCTAATCTTTGGTAACAGAGTAACAAGTTAATATCAGGTGTGCACAAGGTACACAACGTTTTAAAGGTCACCTCTTATGCTATTTTTAGGCAATAGCATAGGTCTCAGATATATACAAATATATAAAAAACATGTCTATGAAGTGTTTTGCTCACAATAACAAACAGATCACCCATTCTAGCCATGCCTCATATTCCTCTATTTCAATTCCTGTTTCAAAAGTGCTGATTTGGGGAATAAAGCTTTAAAAAAAAAAATAGGCAGCTACTGTCTAAACTAAATACTGCCGTGATGAAACGCCATATCATGGATTATCAAGGATTGTTTCTGAAACAGTATGGAGCTCAAAGGCTTTCTCTCTTGCCGGTTATACCACAAGGTGAGTTCCTTTTTATTTCCTGCTTCTTCACACACATGCTCTCCAGTACAGGTTAGCTCTAAGTGTTAGCGATGCTAATGTAAACACCGACCATATTACGTCCAAAACAGTCGGGCATTGTTTCTGATAGCAACGTTTCTGATAGNCTTCCTCCTGCCTAAAGGAGAGATAGGGCAGCCGCAACATCCTGACGCACCCTCCACTTCCCACCATGCAAGCAGATTGACACACAGAGCCTTGAGTGAATTACCAACAAGAACCTTTTCCTACGTTTTAAAGGTCACCTCTTATGCTATTTTTAGGCAATAGCATAGGTCTCAGATATATACAAATATATAAAAAACATGTCTATGAAGTGTTTTGCTCAAAATACCAAACATATCACCCATTCTAGCCATGCCTCATATCCCTCTATTTCACTTCCTGTTTCAAAAGTGCTGATTAGGGGTATAAAAAAAAAAAAATAAAAAAGGAGGGGGCTGAGCTCATGCGGGACCCGGCAGCTACTGTCTAAACTAAATACTGCCGTGATGAAACGCCATATCATGGATTATCAAGGATTCTTTCTGAAACAGTATGGGGCTCAAAGGCTTTCTCTCTTGCCGGTTATACCACAAGGTGAGTTCCTTTTTATTTCCTGCTTCTTCACACACATGCTCTCCAGTACAGGTTAGCTCTGAGTGTTAGCGATGCTAATGTAAACCCGACCATATTACGTCCAAAACAGTCGGGCATTGTTTCTGATAGCAACTTTCTGATAGGTACGGAGGAAAAGAGAGAGGGTTTTATTTTCTGACGCTGCGTGAGTTCCCCGACACACCGGGGACACATGTTTATGTATAATAGACATCAAAAAGTGCATTTTGCATGATAGGTCCCCTTTAAGACTTTATAGCAGAAAGAGGGACTTCTTTACAGCATGTAACTGAACACCATAGAGTAATATACTTCTGGCAACTTAACATGTTTCCTCAATTTAACCTTTTATGGAGGAAATGGACCTTTGACACGATGGCTAAACCAAAGTAAACAATCCAGTGTGGAAAGATTGAGCTCCTTTTTATTTGGTCAGGCGGGGACCCCAGTTTCGCATTTAACATTACATGTTACTTGTTAGAAGCTTTCATCCAAAGCAACTTACATACTCAACACTGTGGGCAATCCCCACAGGAGCAATTTGGGGTGAAGTGTCTCAGGGACACAACAACATGATGACTGCAGTGGGGTTTGAACCTGTGTCCCCCTGATCTCATCACCAACGCACTAGCCCACTGCGCCACGTCTCCACTGATGTATTTCCAACCAAGTTCTCTATGATTTCTTCAGTAAATAACCGGACATCCCGCTAAATAACAAATATCATACTATCGCAGAAATGCTAATGCTAATTATAATGCTGCAGAGGTTAATTTATGACGATTGAGATGGTTTTAAAATCTGACAGAGCTACGTGGACTCACTCAAATCTGGCAACACTGATGCAAAAATAAAAGTGGTTTCATGGTGAGAGTTTTATCCAAAGCAAAGTCTCTCTATTTGACATTTGTTTGTTTCCTTATCAGACAGTCATAATGTTTTATGCTCACTGAGATACAACCTGTGGAGGAGAGACTGATGAGGTTTGTCTGTGTGTGCAGTGCACGTCATTTTTGGGTGATTTAGGTGTCAAAGTCCAGAGGCGTGTGTAGACTCACTTCATAAACTGGAGGTCGTATCTGGGGATTTACTATAATAATAATAATAATAATAATAATAATGCATTTATTTTGGGGGGCGCCTTTCATAACACCCAAGGACACCTTACAGGGCATAGGGGCGATATAGGGAACAATTAAAACAGTGGATTTAGTGAAGTATCAGCCGGGGTAAGACAAGACAAACAACAGGAAATGGACTATAGAAGGACACAAAAGGACACAGGGTACAGTTTATAAAGAAAATGCCAGTTTGAACAGGTGGGTTTGGCTTCATCTTACCACATCACACCTAAACATCTTTAAAACACGGTCTGTGTTTCATTAGGCACAAAATGACATTCTACTGCAAAGAACTGCACGAAAAAGATCATTGAATTCATTTAGGTCAAAGGTTGTAGTTGTCTTAAATCAAAATGTACATATTCTTTATTGATTCACCATGTTGTTGTCCAAAGTGCACCTGCAGCAAATGAAAGCAAACTACAGAACTAAAGGTGAGTGGTTTCACAATAAACCCATGCACAATCAAATGGCCTGTCCTACCTTCAGCCCCTGCATGTAGAAAAGCCAACATCTCTGGAGGTTTGAAGTTGTAAATCACAAAGTGCTACATGTGTTTTTACCTGAGGTTTCGGACCAGGCTGTGCTTCTGAGGTAGATCCAGGAAGTCGATGAGGAAATCCGTGCGAGCCTTGGTTTCCTTCGACGTCAGGCCGTGGATTCGGCCGAAGAAACTGAGAGTGTCACTGATGGTGAACTCGCTGTACAACGCCAGCTCCTGGGCAACGAACAAGCACAACCACGAGTCAAAAACGTATGTGTGTAGACGTTTTTATCACAGCGTAGACAGGTAGTACTTGATAGCAAACATGATATGCTTTTAACCCCCCAGCGTTTTGATCTCCAGGAGTAACTCCAACATTGACCTGAACATAATCATAATGCTATCAAATTCTTTGCAAACCAAACCCTCCTTTCCCTTCTTTTTTTCTATATTTACATTTGATATAATATCTTTTGAGGATGGCCTGACACCTAAATAAAAAGTTGATCCCTGTCTTAATGCTAAACATTTAGAAACATAATACATGAAGTTATTTGGAAAATTCAATACACACTCCACAAGAAGACACACAGATGTTGGTACCAAAATATATCTCTAAGGGATATCAACATGTTGTCAGAGTAACCTTTATCCACTAATAAAAGAAGCTTGACAAGCCAAATCTGAGAAAGTATTCAGTATCACAGAGTATCATGAAATGGCAATAATACTGTAACATGATGCACATGTTTCTGTAACAACAAATCATGATGATATATTATATTTTGCCAGCGTTTCAGTACTTTACAGCGACTACAGTACAGTAGCATCCTTAGGAGCACCCTGGGGTGTCACCTTTCATCCTCTCCGGGTCACAGATCACTCCCTTAAGGGACAATGTGATGCTGAGCGTCACACAGGGGAGGACGCTCACTGTGTGTGTTATCAGCCTCATCAGGTATCCAGTGGGACAGTAATGAGACATGTGGGGGAAACGTCTGAACCAATCAGGACTCAGAGAGACACGATGGAGAGCTGGAGCTTTGATGGCAAACACTGACGGTTTATTTGGAGCTTCGGCCGGAGAATTCACAAGACATGTCACGGGCCACGAGTTGACCACACGGTTGAGATGCCACAAATCAATTCTGAAGACCCCTCCTGTAGCTCCAGGTTTGAACTAGTTCAGAGTGTAATAATCAACATTCTTCAATAGATAGACTAAACAGCTGAGGACACTGAATCACGTTTGTTGTCGCTTATGGCTCGGGGTCATTTACACCCCGAAAAGGATGTGTTCCAGGTGTCCCACAACAATAACTATCCCGTTGCCCGGGCATAAACTGGTAACAAAAACAAAATGCTAGGGCAGCTAGGGAGATGGCGGCTAATCAAGGTTGGTCAGCTGCGTCAGAGGGCGAAGGAGGACATGCAGGGCGAAATGATCCCCTGACAGACACACTAGGGTCCAGGTCACTCACAGAAGCTAAAATAAAGGAGCAGGGTACTTAATGTAGACCTCAATGATCCTAACCCTCCACCACACTTCAGATGGTTATGGTATTGACCATTTGTAAACGCTTTATTCTCGCAGAATGACCATTTGTAAGCTAAGTAATTGGACTGGATGCTAACAAAGAGCTGAAAATCATTTGACCTGGCATCTGCATATTTAAAAAAAGAGCCAATCAAAGAAATGTTTAACTCTAATTAAACCTGAATTTAACTTAGTTAAGCAGGGACAACCTACTTCCATCACTTTGGTCTAGATTATCCTTATTTAAAAAACTAAATTTGATTTATAACACTTCATGGATTTTATTGTTATACATCTCAACTTCTAAACTTCTATGTTAAATTACTGTAACTTGAATTACTTGATCAATTATGCAATCTTTGTTTATATATGTTTCTTTTTTCAGTTATGACTATGGATATTTAATAGGGGCAGTATCTTCATAAGCCATTGGTGGCCGTTTAACCTCTCCTGCATAATGCTCTTACTTCTTACTGTTTTTTACGTGTGTGTATACGTGCAAACAACAGGAGGTTAAACGCCTCGGATTTGCATTGTTTTTATGGCTTTTACAAATATTTCATGCAGGACTAAATGCATGGTGTGTATTCGTGTAGCATACATTCACACATTTACACACATTTCAATGGAAGATACAAGGTGTTTACCTGCGGCATGTACCCGACCATCCTGCCTGGCACGTGATGACCAGGGAACGCAGGAGGCTTCCCCAAAACGCTGATGTGACCACGTGAGATCTTCAAAGTTCCCACAATGCATTTCAGTAATGTGGTTTTCCCACAACCACTGGGGCCCAAAAGACCATAACTGCAACACAGAATACACAGCATTTCAGAAACAGAAATACTTTACTAGCATATTTAATAAAGGGGCAAACACATGAGAAGTAAGTGAATATAAAAAAGTATGGTAGTAGCAGTAATACCGTTAATAAAATGTAGAAAGTATATATTGCACATATGAGGGTTTTTTCACAGTAGTTTTGTTACAGTCTGAAGTAGTGAAGTAATTGGAGATAAAAGTCTCTCAGGGTAATTTTGCGAGCTGTCAAGTTATCAGAGTTGATGTTATTTATATATATGTATATATATATATA